ATATATAATTTGAATCTTTGGAAACTTTAACTGTGCTGTCAACTTTGGAAAAAGTCATCCCAATTTACTGTGTTGAGTTGGCATTGTACAGAAATGGACAGCCATATTGGTCTAGAAATGTTAATTTTTTTATTTTTATTTTTTTTCCATTTGTACAGGGGTAACACGTATTAAATATCTACATGGGTTTGATTACAGAAACTAATAAAGTATTCTCTAAATAAAGAAAAAGAAAGAATAAAATAAGACTACAAGAGTAAGAAGCAATTTAAATATGTTCAGGGGCCATTTTCACCTTCAGAATTAAGGATTATTTTAATCTTACATCATTGCCTTTTCTATTTTACTTTCCTTTTTAGTTTTATTTTAGGATTCCCTATGTCTAATGATCATACAGAGATTTCTTTAACCAAAATACCAAATAGTTTCTCTGGTGTGAAACACTATAATAGTACACAGGACCCTAATGAGATAATTAATAATGTGAAATAGGAAGTAAAGGGATAAAGGTGTAGGGAAAGTGGGAAGGGTAGGGGAAAGGTAATAAGGGAGAGGAAAAAAAATATGAGAGACTGAAAAAATGGAAATAAAGTGTTTGTAAATGGGGAGGGGAGGAGGGGGTGAAGGGAGGGCAGGGACAAGGGGAAAAAATGAGAATCAAGACCCATCATGTAAAGGTATAGGATCCCCATAATGAATGTAACTGTATTGTATACCTAGATTGTACCAATAAACTCAATAAAAAGAAAAAGAAAACAACAACAACAAAAAAAGAAACAAAAGGGCCGCAGATTTAGCTCAGTGGTTCTGCCACCTGCCTCATAAACATAAAGTCTTGAGTTCAATTCCTGGTACAAAAGAAAGAATTAGGGCTGGGGATTTAGTTCAGTGGTGTCACCGCCTGCCTCGCAAGTGCAAGGACCCTAGTTCAATCCCTGGTACCAAAAGAAAAAAGAAACAAGAATTGTTTTGCTGGTGACAGGAATGAGACTTAAGACTCTTCATGTAAGCCTTTCTATACCTGCACTTAACTATATGAACAAATCCAGATAATAAAACAGCACTGTCAGCCCCCAGAAGACCCCCTCAAGATTCCTTCCAGAATCTAGGAGTACAGCTCAGTAGTAGAGCACTTTCCTAGAACATGTAAAGCCCTGAGTTGAATCCCCAGCACCACATACACAGACAAAAAAATCTTTCCAGCCACTCCACTCCTTCCACAAAAAAATAATCACTTCTAATAGGAAAACTTTGTTTTGTCTGTTTTTCAACTCTATACACATGGAATCATAAAACATAAAATATATACTTTTTCATTTTATTTCACTAAAATTGCCAGAGGAATTATTTTATAATGAATATAGATATATATGGTAGATCATTCTCCTTTAGTACCAAATTATTATGCTGCAGTATGTGAAAAACACAGTTCATGTTTCTGGTCTACAATGATGAGCATTTGGGTTGTTTCCAGCATGGAACTATTACAAATAGTAATCTATCAACATTCTCATTCATTTTCTCAGTGCATGGATTTCTCTGGGGTATAAACCTAGGAATATAATTGCTAAATCAGAGGGTAGGCATATATTCAGATTTAATAGCTATTGTCAAATAATCCTCTGAAATGATATACCAATTTACATCTCTACTAGCAGCAAAGTTCCAGTTGATCTACATCCTTGCCAACATGTAGTCCTGCCTGTCGTTTTAGTTTCAGTCATTCTGGTGGGAGTGGAGTGGAATCACATATAGTTTTTTTTTATTGAATTTATTGGTACATTCTAGGTAGACAGTACAGTTACATTCATTACTGGGATCTTGTACCTTTACATGACAGGTCTTGGTTCTCATTTTTTCCCCTTG